TTGCCAGAAATCCATCAGTCTGATTTAGGGTGGTGAGTGTATATGTTTGGGAGGGTGGGAGGATGTACTCATCTTCCTGCCCATCTCTTTTGACCCATCCATATGGGAATGCACCTTCAGACCTAACCTTTAAAGTGAGTTCCTTGGGGCGCCTGGGTGGCTCAGTTGGTTAAGCATCTGCCTTCGGCTCAGGTCATGAACCCAGGGTCCTGGGATCGAGCCCCGCATCGGGCTCCCTGCTCAGTGGGAAGCCTGCTTCTCCCTCTCCCGCTCCCCCTGCTTGTGGTCTTTCTCTCTCTCTCTCTGTCAAATAAATAAATAAAATCTTAAAAAAATAAAACAAAAAAATAAAGTGACTCCTTAGTCCCCAGTACCAATTCATGTGCTAATTACAAAGCTGAGCTAATTCCAGTGAACCCCACTGGCTGGACTTGGGTTGGTGGGTACTAGTTGAGGATAAAGGGACACCACCTCCATCCATCATTGCTCAAACAACCCCCAACTTGAAAGGGGCCTAAGTTTATAAAGTCTTTTTTTGACAGACAGACTGATTTCGTTGATTTGAATGTCCATGTGCACATGTGTGTGTGTACCCATCCCTTGTAGGTGTTTGATATGGCTTTCTGAATATGTTTCTTGTGTATATGTGGGGGAATGTGGCTCACACATGCATGCAAGAGGGAATCTGGGCAGAGTGTGTTTCCACACATATGATCTCTCACATGTCTGAGTGTGAGTGTGTGTGTGTGTATGCCGGAGCTGTGTGACTAGGTGTGCACTTGTGTATGTCCTCTGTATTTGAACATGAAGCCAGGTGTATACGTGTTCCATGCGCCTGCTGTGTCTGTGTTCTGGTGAGCCTCAGAGTCCGTGATGTGCATGTATGAACATGGAAGTGTCCCCCGTGTGTATTTGTATATTCAGGCAGATTCTGTGTGTATACGAGCAATCCCCTTCCCCCCAAGGCCCCCTCAGCTCTCAGGCAGTTTAACCTCATTCTTCCTGCTGTGGCTCTTTCCGCTGCTTTTGTCCCCTTCTCCAGATGTTGTAATTAAGTAAATGTGGCAATTAAGCAGAACCCCCCAAACCACCATCCCACCAGGATCCCCTTGCAGGAGCTAATGAGGGATTACAGCACATGCAGACACGTGCACGGTATTATTCAGGCACCACAGGGACCCCCCAGACTGCACATGCTATAGCATAAGGGCACACAAACAACACAGAGAGTCCCTTTGCTCACCTGCTTTGTTTGTACTCATCCTTCAGGTCTCAGCATAAAGGTCCCCTCCTCCAGGAAGCCTCCCTCACTGGGGGCGGGGGCGCCTAAAGGGTTGGACTCTGCCTCTGGGACCCCACACCCCTCTGCTTCCTCCATCAGAGCCCTGACCACTCTGGCCTGTGCTTTGCCGTCAAAGCCCTTAATTACTTTGCCCAGTGCATCCCCTGTCACACCCTGGCCACTGTGGCCGGGCCTCTGTCGTGACAGTCCCAGTCTCTGCAGCCCAAGCTTCTCCCAGCCCAGCCCTGATCACTCTGGGCTGTCTAGAGAGGTGTCTTTTTTGCTTTTGAAATTTGAGCTCAGTGAAAGCAGGACCTGACACTGCCTTGGTGACACTTCTGCTGCAGTCATTTAGCACACAACCATGGCCAGACAGCCACAGTAAATGTCGAACTAGCATCTTTGCTTCTGCCCCTCTCTGTTTCCGAGCCCCGCTTTATGTCTCTAAATATGTCGTTTTCTCTGGCACATGCTTAAAATGCTAAATCCCCTCAATCCCCCAGCTTTCAGCACAGCTGTAGTGGACAGTTCCATGGAAGTCGCAGATGTTCCTGGTTTAGCCCAGTGGTTCTCAAAGTGTGGTCCCTGGACCCGCAGCATTAGCATCCCCTGCGAACTCGTTAGAAATGCAAATGTTTGGGCCTCACCTAGAAGTACTGAATCAGAAACTCTGGGACTGGGGCCTAGAGATCTATTGTTAAGGTTATCCCAACATAACTAAAGTGTGAGGACAACTGGTTTACTTCATGCAAGGCATCCCTCTCTGCTTTTCTGCCTCAGATCTCAGATGGCTGTCAGTACCACCCTCTCCCTCCACCAAAGAGATGACCATCACCCAAAGGGGTAAGGACTAGTGTATAAATGCAGGGGCAGGGGGAAGAAATTTTGCAGGGGGGAAGAAAGGGGAGGAACCATAATTCTGATGTGTTCTACAAGTTCCTTAATGTTCCCCAGCTGAACTGAGCCCCAGTTGCCCAGAGGGGTAATCTGCTCTTCACCTGCACCCTCTATTAACTTTCTTCCTCCTCTGCCTCTTTCTCCCCCAATCTCTTGCCCATTACCTGGGGTCACCCCCAAATCAGCCAGTTCCACTGAATTCTAATCCCACTCTGCTCTTGGACTGTCTCCAGGTATTTCTGTCTATCTGCCCACCTCCACCACTTCTGTAGTGTCTCTGAGACTTCTGCATCCTTTTTCTGAGTGTCTGAGTAACCGGTATCCACTATGCTGGGCCAGGGCACTGATGAACTTTGCTAATGATCTGGAAAAGCAGGCCTTAGAACTGAGTTAATTTTAGCTGCAATTTTTCAATACACATGTGTGGAAGGAGCCAAAAGTCTGTTCAGAAATCTTCAGCAGAGATAGGGATGCAGGGTGATGTGCATCCATGTTCCTACCCCCAGGTGGCTTTACTCCTCTACTCAGAAGGGAGGGTGGCATCCCTGGGGGTGGTATGTGACCATTCAGGTTCCCCCAGGGTTAGGGCTATGACCAAAGGCCAAGACTGTGTTCCCTTCAGACCAGGGGTCCCAAAGATCAGGTCCCCCATATTGCTATAACCAAGTTCCCAGGGCAGGCTTGTAAAACCACTACCCACATCCCTCTTCCTGCGATACCATGTGCCAGGAGACATGTGGAACTCCCCACCCTCCCCTCCACTACCCTCTTACAATGGTCAGGACAGGCAGCCCCCACTCCTGGTGAGTCATGTGTTAGTACAATTCTAGCAGAGTCCTCTGTGGGGCAATGGGCCTGAGTCAGGGAGAGGGAAAGGCAGTGGACACACTTCTCTGGGTCAACCTGTACAGCTCCCTGCCTCTGTCCCATTTCCTATCGTGTCCAGTCCTCTGCCTCTGTCCCATTTCCTATCTTTTCCATCCTTTATGGGTTATCTGTCCAGTGTTTCTTGAGGTCTAGCTGTAATTCCAGAGGGCACAGGGTCTGGGAGCCAGTTTCCCCCTTGCAGCCAGGGCAAGGAGACTTGGGAAGGAGCAGAGTCTCCTCTCTGGCCTCAAAGATCAGGCCTGTTGCTGGGCAGGGTCCATGTAAGGAAACCCCACCTAGGGAAGGACATCCCAGGGAGATGGTGCTAAGACAAAGGAGAGGAGACAGGCTTGGGGGCCCGAGACTCTGCGATGGAAGGCCATATTCAAAGCTGTGAAGAGGAACTGGAAACACACACAAATACACATACCCATCCTCATAGCTGAGTTGCCCCCGTGCAGTCTCTGCCATCCCCACCCCCGGCCCACCCGTGTCTCTGTCTCTTTGACTTTCTCTGTGTCTCTGTCATTGTCTATCTCTGTCATGTCCTTGTCTATTTCTCTCTGGGTCTCCCACTGTCTCTGTGTATTTTCATCTCTCCTTGAATATGTGTTTTTCTATCTGCCTCTCTCATTCTACTTCTGTCTCTCCATCTAAACCTGCCCATCTTTTTGTCTCTGTCTCTCCCAATCTGTGTGTCTCTTTGTCTCAGTCTCTGTGTCTCTCTCTATGTCTCTCTGTATCCAAGGATTTTTTCTCACTCCCAAGCAACGCCAGGGCGACTCCAAAGGAGATGGGGTCGGACGCGCGCCTTTGAGAGAGGGGGGCTGCCTACACCTTTAAGCGCGGGCACGCGCGGGGCCTGCGCCTTTAAGCGCGGGCGCGCGCGCGGCCCTGGGTTCCCTGCGAGGAGGCCGCGGGAGCGCCCGGACCCAGCCCGCCTGCCCGGCCCCCGCCCGGCCCCCGCCCCGGCCCCGGCGGGGGAGGGGTCTCTGAGCGCGGCCCCTCCCCCCTGCGCCCCGACCTGCGCTGCGGTGTCTCCACCCCAGAGTGTCCCAGTCTGTCCGTCTGTCCTCGCCCAGGCCTCGCCCCACCCCGGCTCCCGGGGCTGCCTTGCCGCCCCCCTCCCCCGACCGCATCCCCCTCATCCCTCCGGGCCAGTCCCCGCCGCAGCCGGGGAAGCAAGCCGGGACCACGCCGCCCCAAACCCAGGGCCCGCACCCCGACATCGGTGGCCTGCACCCCAAGATTGGATCCAGAGATCTGGAAAACCTGAGACCCTTATCTGGGGCTGGGACCCCAAGACCTGGAGCCCGAACACCTAGTATCTGGGGCTGGAATCTCAACATCAGTCTCTGGAACCCCAAGACTTGGAATATGGACCCCCAAATTTGGAGCCCGAACCTCAAGATTTCGCATCTAAAGCCCCAAATCTGGAACTGAACTCTGAACGCTGTGCCTGGGACCTTGAAATCTGGGACCAGATTCTCATATCTATACTCTGGAACCCACTATTTGGGACCCAAACCCTGAGATTTAGGCCTCAAATTCCAAGATCTGAACCCTGGCATTCCAAGGGGCCTAAACCTGAGTTTGAGCCTGAAGTCCTTGCTGCAAACCCGAATGCTGAAATTGAGGGCTAGAGACCTCCAAATCTTGATTCGGCACCCCAATATCTGAACCCAGCACCCCAGTATCGGATCCCAGGACTGGGCTTGAGACTCAGACCCTAAACTCTCCATTTGGCTGTTTAGCTTCCCAAGACCAGAACTAGGAGACACTGGCTCTGACCAACCCAAACTGGAGCCTGGGTCTCTAAAATTGGCCCCTAGAGGCCTTATATTTAGAGATCTAGGACCCTAAGTATCAAGGTCTAGAGACTCCATGGCCACAGATCTGGGCTGAGATACAACACAGTCCCTCTACAGAGGCCTTGGGGACAGAGAAGGCATGACCAGGCCCCCCGTCCAGAGCCCTGACCCCTGACCCCTTGGAGCCTGAGGACTCTGCTCCCTGGGGCGGCTTCCAGCTCAGGTAAGGCTCTTGGGGGACCCCCATGGTGGGGAGGGACCTGGGAGGAACTTTGTGCCTGGGGGTGGAGGTAAGTGAGGACTAGGTCCCCCTGGGCACCCTTGGGGTTTTCCCAGGAAACAAATATCTGCCCCCCTCCTCCAGGGGTTTGCCTCTAGCTCCCGCTGTGCCTCAGATACTCTCTGGGTATTTATTTGACCAGCACTGCCCCTCTCTGACCTCCTCTTCCCCAGTTTATGGCACCTCCAGGTCTCTGATCTCGCACTCTGTTCTCCAGTTTCTTCCCACCATCTGTCTCATCTGACCGTCTCCAGACGCCTCTCCTGGCCACCGCCCCCCTCACTGACCATCTCCGCTCACCACTCCTCGCTCTAATCATCTTTGATACTTCCATCCACCGCTGCTCTCTCAGGCCACCTCTGTCTGCTGCTTCACTCAAGTGACCACCTTTGGCATCTCTGTCCACCGTGCCTCTCTCGAATCATCTTTCACCAGCTCTCTTGCTCTTGTCCACCCCTGACTCTGAGCCTTGGCTGTCTCTGACCATCTTTTGCCATTGTTCTCGCCCTCCTCCTGCCGCCTGTCCCAACTGCCAGTCTGCGACCCTTACTGACCACCTCTCTTCTCTCTGTCTCTCTTGAGCACTGGAGTTCTCCCATCATCTCTAGTATCTCTGGCTGCCTTTCCTCTCTCTGATGACCTCTCCCCGCACCCACCATCCTACCCTGCTGTCCTCATCTCCAGCTGTCTCCTCTATCTGACTACCTTTCTGGCTCTTGACCATTTTGGACCATCTTTGACCATGTCTCCTAGATCTAAGCACCCCTGACCACGTCCCTTCCTTTTCCACCTCTCATCTTCTTGGCCATCTCTAACCATCTCCCTTCTCTGGTCATGTTTGACTACTTCTAATCATTCCCACCACCTTGACTGTCTCTTCTCTCTGGCCGTCTTTGACCATGTCTTTGACCATGTTTCAAGCCCTCTGGCTTCCCTCTACCCACTCTGATCAACCCTCCCGTTCTCTCTCTCTGACCATCTCTAATTACCTCCCTCTCCTCTGACTGTCTTTGTTCATGTCTGCTCCCTCTGACACATCCCTCTGAGTCTTTGACCAGCTCCTCTGGCTTTTGATCCGTCTGACCACTCTCACTCCTCTGGCTGACCATCTTTGACCCAATATTTTGCTCCCAGCCCACTGAGACCTTCTCTCCCGGTCCTGAACCACCCTGATGCCCTCTGGCACACCCCCTTCTGGCCTCAGCCTGCCCTAATGCCTCTCTTCTTCCCTGTAGGCCGCCCCTGCCCGCAATGGCCGTCCTCCCTCTGCTCCTCTGCCTGCTGCCGCTGGCCCCTGCCTCGTCTCCGGCGCAGCCAGCCACTCCCAGCCCGTGTCCCCGCCGCTGCCGCTGCCAGACACAGTCCCTGCCCCTCAGCGTGCTCTGCCCGGGGGCAGGCCTCCTGTTCGTGCCCCCCTCGCTGGACCGCCGGGCAGCCGAGCTGCGCCTGGCGGACAACTTCATCGCGGCCGTGCGCCGCCGCGACCTGGCCAACATGACCGGCCTGCTGCATCTGAGCCTGTCACGTAACACCATCCGCCATGTGGCAGCCGGCGCCTTTGCTGACCTGCGCGCCTTGCGGGCCCTGCACCTGGACGGAAACCGGCTGACCTCGCTGGGCGAGGGTCAGCTGCGTGGCCTGGTCAACTTGCGCCACCTCATCCTGAGCAACAACCAGCTGGCGGCCCTGGCGGCCGGCGCCCTGGACGACTGCGCCGAGACACTCGAGGATCTCGACCTGTCCTACAACAACCTGGAGCAGCTGCCCTGGGAGGCCTTGGGCCGCCTGGGCAACGTCAATACGTTGGGCCTCGACCACAACCTGCTGGCCTCCGTGCCTGCTGGTGCCTTTTCCCGCCTGCACAAGTTGGCACGGCTGGACATGACCTCCAATCGCCTGACCACCATCCCGCCCGACCCGCTCTTCTCCCGCCTGCCGCTGCTGGCCAGGCCCCGCGGCTCCCCTGCCTCCGCCCTGGTGCTGGCCTTCGGCGGCAACCCCCTGCACTGCAACTGCGAGCTGGTGTGGCTGCGGCGGCTGGCCCGGGAGGACGACCTGGAGGCCTGCGCCTCCCCACCCGCTCTGGGCGGCCGCTACTTCTGGGCCGTGGGCGAGGAGGAATTTGTGTGCGAGCCCCCCGTGGTGACTCACCGCTCGCCGCCACTGGCGGTGCCTGCGGGCCGGCCAGCTGCCCTGCGCTGCCGGGCAGTGGGGGACCCCGAGCCTCACGTGCGTTGGGTGTCACCCCAGGGCCGGCTGGTGGGCAATTCGAGCCGTGCTCGTGCCTTCCCTAACGGGACGTTGGAGCTGCTGGTCACCGAGCCGGGCGATGGTGGCACTTTCACCTGCATTGCGGCCAATGCGGCTGGTGAGGCCACCGCGGCTGTTGAGCTGACCGTGGGTCCCCCCCCACCTCCCCAGCTAGCCAACAGCACCAGCTGTGACCCCCCGCGGGACGGGGATCCTGATGCCCTCACCCCGCCCTCTGCTGCCTCCGCCTCCGCCTCCGCCAAGGCAGCTGACACTGGGCCCCCTACCGACCGTGGTGTCCAGGTGACTGAGCATGGCGCCACAGCTGCTCTTGTCCAGTGGCCAGATCAGAGGCCTATCCCAGGCATCCGCATGTACCAGATCCAGTACAACAGCTCAGCCGACGACATCCTCGTCTACAGGTGCAGGGCCCAGGCAGTGGGCAGAGTGGGTGGCAGACTGAGGTGGAGGGAGGGCTGGAGCTACATCTGTTGACACCCCAGGCTGCAGCGCAGCTGAGAAATGAGGCTGAAATGGTTACAAAGGAAATCAGATGGCAAAGGTAAAAGAAATCAGGCAGAGAAGGCAAAAGAAATCTGGCAGTAGTGATAAAAAGAAATAAGGCAGCAAAAGTCAATAGTAACAGATATAAAAAAGAAATCAGGCAGCAAGAGTAGAAAGTAATCAGGCCAGAAGAATAAAAAGTTAACGGGGGCGGGGGGGAGGGGAGGAGCAAGGTTGGAGGAGTACAAACAAACGGAATATAAAGGTGGAGAGGAACCAGGTGTTTCCAGAGGACAGGACTAGATATAAGCCAAGTTGCAAGAAGAAAAGGAGATCAAACAGGAAGGTACAGCGTTCATGGGGAAAATGAAATGAGGGAGGAGGCAAAACAGAGATCAGGCTTTGGGCCTATGCAGTGTGAACTGTTCCAGATGTTTAGAGTTCTAATACGGTGACATCTCAATTTGTGATTTTCTAAATCAAATTCAACCTAGTTCATGCTCCACCTGCTAGGTGAACGGGAACATTCGCTTTGCCCACTGTTGGGGATCCCCTTCTCTATTTAATTGTTGCAAGCGATAGAAGAAAATCTGGGGCTTCTACCCTCCAAGAGGTGGATCAGGACATCTTCCGCCCCCGAGCTGGAGAGCATTTGGAACATCTGCTGTGGCCGGCCACATGTGGTCAGGAGTGGTGGCTCCGACCTAGAGGCTGCTGACACTTCTCACCCGAGTCTAACCTTGCATGGGTGGCTGTGGATGGTTCCCTCTTCTCACTGCCAGGCTGGGCCAAGGGTGCGGTCCCCGAGGCCTGGCTGCAGAGAGTCAGGCCTCCCAACGCCTGGAGTGTGCGCCTTATAAACCCAGTACCTGGGTCCCTCTCCTTCCCCAGGGGCCCACATCTCAAGAGGTCATCAATTGATTTCCTTTTCAGTCCTGGAAATCTAGCGAGCTTATTCTGTTCCCTTTCTCAGATGGCCGTAGTCCCTGGAGGGGGAGTCGGCTCCATGGAGGGCCCACACCCAGAAATCCCACAAATCCTGCCCACCTTGCCTGGCAGGGGATGAGACAAATGCTCTCCTAGATAGTCACCCTCTCAGAGACAATCACGGGGTTCCCTGTAACTCCCACATTAAAGCAGTTTAGGAATAAAACAGATTATAAAACAAGTTAAATCTCCAACAGGGTGCTCTGCTACAAAAGGAAATAGAGTAGAACTGGGTGCTAAGGATAAAAGGAAATGGGAAAGGTAAGGATAAAAAACAGGCAACAGAGATAAAAAGGGAATCGAGAGCCGGAGCTGGAAGAAATAAGGCAACAGGGAGAAAAAGAAATCAGCTGTGATGGCTGAGGCACATCAGTTTCACGAGAACAGAGACCAGCTCAATGGAAAGCGCGCTGTAGATACAATAATGATAATAAGGCAATGGGGCTAGGGGGACATTCACTGGCAGGTTAGAAGGAAATCAGGCAGCAGTATGGGGGAATCAGGCAGGCAGATGAGAGAATTCTAGCTGTACGCTGGAGGAGCGTGGGGCGGCTGGAAAAGGGAAATCAGGCCCCAACTGGAGGAGAGGCAGGGAGGGGAACCTGGGGAGTTGGGCAAGGGTCTAGAGCTGGGGTTGGAGGGAAAGTTGCACTGCAGGGTAGCTGGGCCCTGAGGCCATGGTGAAGAGCCCAAACAGAGGAGCAGTGAACAGCCTGCCCAGGAGGGAATCTGGGCACTGGGGCTAGAGGGAGATTAAACTGGGGGATTTGAGTGGCAGGCGCCAGCAACCTAAGACGATCCATGGGTTATCAGTCAGGAGGCTGGCCCGGTATTAGACCAAAGGGAATTTGAGCCGCGGTGGGAAGGGACTTGGGCTAACAGCGGGCTGGGGGGAAATCGGACTGGAGGGTTGGGGCACAGTGCAGGGTGGGTGCTGGGCAGCCAGAGACCTGACACCCCACCTGCCTGTCCCTCCAGGATGATCCCTGCCGACAGCCGCTCTTTCTTGTTGTCGGACCTGGCGTCGGGCCGCACCTACGATCTGTGCGTGCTGGCGGTGTACGAGGACGGCGCCACAGGGCTGACGGCCACGCGGCCCGTGGGCTGCGCCCGCTTCTCCACCGAACCGGCGCTGCGGCCCTGCGGGGCCCCGCACGCACCCTTCCTGGGTGGCACCATGATCATCGCCCTTGGTGGAGTCATCGTGGCCTCGGTACTGGTCTTCATCTTCGTGCTGCTTATGCGCTACAAGGTGCACGGCGGCCAGCCCCCCGGCAAGGCCAAGGCACCCGCACCCGTCAGCAGCGTTTGTTCGCAGACCAACGGCGCCCTGGGCCCCACACCGGCCCCGCCCGCCCCTGAGCCCGCGGCGCCCAGGGCCCACACTGTGGTCCAGCTGGACTGTGAGCCCTGGAGGCCCAGCCACGAACCCATGGGACCCTAGCCTCTCGCCCACCTCTACGGCCGTTCTGGCCCCAGGGGTGGGAGGACCCAGGCACCCCATGGGACCTGGCCTCAGACTCACCAAATTGCTCACGGTTTTTAAAACTCTGATGGGGAGGGTGTCGGGGGCACCGGGGCACAACAAGAAAGTCCTATTTTTCTAAGCTTGGGCCTAGGCCCTTGCCCTTGTCTCTGTCTGTGGGGGTTGGGGGGGATCATGCAGGGGTCTGGAGTTGGGAATGCCTCCTCTGGGGAGAGACCCCCACCCCACTCCATTCTGTCTGAGGTTCCTGGATGAGACTGAGGACGGTCATCCATTCAGTCGACAGAATTCCGTGAGCATGCCCCCTGGGTGTGCCCTGTGCTGGGTGATGCTGCCATGACCCAGAACGGCCCCAATCCCTGCTCAGAGAGCAATAGTTCAGAGTTAGCAGAGATGTGGTGATGAGGGAAGCCTAAGATATTGCGGGAGCCCAGGAAAGGTGCCTGACTCAGCCTAGGGTGTGGTCAGGGAGGCTTCCTGGAGGAAAGATGAGATCTGAGCATGACATCAGAAGGAGATAATTGGGCAAAGAGCAAAGGGAGAGCTGTCCCAGGCAGAGGGCCCAGCACAAGCAAGGATTTAGGAAATGCCAGACATTGGGGGTACTGTGGTAGAGGTAAGGCAGGAGGGGTAGGCAGGGTCCAGGATCTCCAGGCTGAGGAACTCAGCTCTGGTCTGATAGTACTCGGGAGCCATGGAGGATTCTATGCAAGGGAGGGACAGGGTCAGGAATGGGCTTTAGGGAGCTCTTTCTAGCTGTCATGAAGAGGATGGACCAGAGGGGAAGACTGAAGCTGGGAGCCTGGGGGAAGCCAAGGCAGGGACCCAGGTGGCTAAGGACAAGACTGGACCGGGCAGGGCTGGGGGAAAGGAGTAGGGGATAGGTGAGAGAGGAAGCTGAATGGACAGATTGTGGAGCTGAAGGGCTGTGGGGGAGGGAAGCGTCCAGGGTGAGGCCCAGGGCTCTGGCCAAGGGAGGGGACAGTGGAGCCACCTGATACAGAATCAGGAAGAAGGTACAGGTTTGGGGAATATGCTGAGGCCAATGGGGGGACTTGGTGAATGTGGGAGGCCCCAGAAGACTTTTCAAGGGGGTGGTGGCCAGGAGGTCTCAGGACCCTGGTCTGAGGCTGGAGCTGGGGACCGAAAAGAAGGCTATGTCAGCAGAGATGGAGAATGAGGCCACTGGGGTGATGAGACAGCCTCTGGGACTTTCCATATTTAAGGGACAGGCAAAGAAAAACCTAACAAAGACTAAATAGGAACAGCAGATGGAGGGACAGAGTGAAGCAAACCAGGCAAGTCAGACCCAAGTGACTATTGTGTTTAATGATATCAGGCCATGGTGACCTCAGTGAGAGCGGTGTTAGGGGATTGGTTGGGCAGGTGCCAGATTCAGCTGATTTGAGAGTAGGAGTAAAAAGTGTAGTTAGGGAGCATAAACCCTGTGATTCTGTGGACCTCGGACCTGGTTCAGGTTGATCTGGACCTATCAGCCCTGTGTCTCCGCAAGGCTGGTCCTCATTCTGTCTTGGACTGCCTTGGGCCCCCCTCAGACACCAGACCTGGAGGTTTGGAAGACCAAACCCTGGGTTTTGGTAACACCATGCCTCGTTGGAGAGCCAGGAATGGGATAGGCAGTAAGAGGAATAGTGTTCCTTAACCCCAGGCCTCCTCTGGTGGTGGGTCCAGAGGCAGAGAAGATGGAGGTAGGGGAGAGGGACTGAAGTGCTGTGAGTGTTTTCTGGAGTGATGCTGATGTGAGGAGCATGGTGAAGAGGGCCCAAGACTGGACTGGCCATTCTCAAGACCTGGTGCACATGACCCTGTCCTCGTGGGATAACATCCTAGATTCTGCAACAGTTTTCTTGGTGGGTGTAGGCTTTGAAAATGATCTTCCACCAGCCATGGGAACAATCTGAGTCCCAGGGACCTGGTCTGACTCCTGAGTCCCCCAGAAGCATAATGAGGTCCTTCTTGTTTGTTACCCTTGGTGGCTGAGGTCAGGTGAAGCTATCGGTGAGTGAGGTGTCTTGGCCAAGGGGGCCTAGGGAGTGGGAAGATTGGAGGTCTAGTGCCAACTACAAAATACCCAGTTGCTGCCACGAGGGGGAGCCAGAGTGCACCATTCCTCAACCCTTTTTTTTTTTTTAAAGATTCATAGTATTTTATTATTTTTTAAACTTTTATTTATTTATTGGACAGAGAGAGACACAGCAAGAGAGGGAACACAAGCAGGGGGAGTGGAGAGGGAGAAGGAGGCTTCCCGTGGAGCAGGAAGCCCGATGCGGGGCTCGATTCCAGGACCCTGGGATCATGACCTGAGCGGAAGGCAGACGCTTAACGACTGAGCCACCCAGGCGCCCCCCTCAACCCTTCTTTTTAAATTTGAATAATTTATTGTGTGCCTACTTGTGCAGCATACTGGGAATTCAGTACTGAGCAAATTCAGGCGCAGGTCCTGCCCTCACATATCTCACCATTTGGTGGGGAAACATGTGAAATCATCACACAAGCCAGTGTAAAGCATCTGTGGTGACGGCGAGGGGAGGGGCGGGGCATGCAGGAGAGATCCATGGAATCATGAGACCCTATAACCAGGAGACCTGACCCAGGAATTGAGGTTGAGAGAGGCTTCCTGGAGGCAGTGACTACTCAGCTGAGATCTGAAGGATGCTCAGGTTGGAGTTAACTGCCCCGGGGGTGGAAAGGGCATCCCATGCAAATGGAACAGCACGTGCAGAAGTGTAGGGGCTGGGGGGTGCATGATGAGTAACAGGGCCTGAAGGGGGCTGCTGAGGCAGGGTGAGGGAAGGATGCTGTGTTGAGGCTGGAAAGTGGGAAGGGGGCAGATAATGCAGGACACTGTAGGCTGCCGGGAAGAATCTGGGTTTTATTATAAGTGGCATGAGAAGCCATTGGAGGTTTTGAACAAGGAGGAGAAGCTTCTTTCTTCAGGAAGCTCCAGTGGTAGGTCTGTTTGCATGTAGGGGACAGAACTGGAGAAGGGAGACCGAGGAAGGGGCTACTGCAATGGTCCAGGCAGAACGCTGACCCAAACGAGGTTGGGGCCTGAAGTGGATGGACTGGAGAGAGATTTGAGACTACCTCGCCAGGGGCCTCTGTCCCCTATGCAAAGGAGGACAGTGTGGACTATCCAATGATCTGGCTCTCAGGCAAGGTTGCAGAGACTGGAAAAAAGAGCTGTGGGACCCAGGTGTGTGATATCCAAGGATACGTCCCTCAGATGAGGAAGCTCACCTGTCTGTAGCATAAGAATTAAGAACTTTTTCCAGGCTCAAGTACCAGGCAGACCGTGGACGTTGGCTCTGCAAGGCAGAGACCATGACTGGTTGGGGGGAGTTTCCTTCCAGGAAATGCAGGCCTGGAAGGGGGACACACACCCAGCGGTAGCTGATTATACATTTAGAAGCAAAGAGTGTGGGAGGAGAGAGATGGGGGCAGGCTAGTTCCTCTAGCATGGCTCCCCTCTGCCTTCCCAACAGAGTGCCTGGATCATTCCCCACCCCCATGCAGGAACAATACTACTATGGACAAATGATCACATGTATCTAGAATTTAAAGTTAAAATGTAGCTTGTCCAACACTGCCCAGCTGAGTCCACCAATTTCCTGAGCCCAGGGAATGCTCCTCCTCCTCCCATGGCCCATCCCCTGTGTGGCTTTGAGAATGCCTTGCATATTTTTGAGACCAGGTTTCCTGGAACCAAAGTTCCAGGCTCCTGGAGCGTTTTCTCGAAGTAACTATAGTCCTCATACCAGGATGCTCTCCTGTCTGCATGCTGCCACATCCAACCTGTGTCTGGGTTTAGCGGCAAAGATAACAAAGGCCCCGAGTGTCTCCGTGTCTGGGGTCCCTTCCCTGCCAGGCCTCAGCTAATGCCAAGCTTTCACAGCTCGTTCTGTGGGCACGTGTTGGGGGGAGTCCGATAAAGGGGTCCTCCGAAAAGGGATGTTTCTCTTCCAGGTTGAACCTGAGCGTGGCCTCTGCCTTTGATTCTTCCCTGGTGCCTGTCCCCCTATATGCTTCACAAAAACAAGGATGGGCATCTGTGCTTGGTTGCTGCCATGACCCGGCAGAGCGATGCTGGGAACCCGGAGGGGCAGAGGGGGACCAACCCAGCCCCAGACCCCGCCTTCACAGAGCTCCAGGCCCATGGGGGAAATACATGTTCCCTAAACAATGGCACCCCAAAGTGGAGAGGGCTGGGATAGGGGAAGCGCAGGGAAGACTGATTAGGGCCTGTCTAAGCGCAAGGGACTTTGGGAGCCCAGAATGGGCTCCTCACTGAGCCTGGCTTGGGAGGTGGCCTGAATGTGGGGCCAGCTTCATGGCAGTGTGACCTGTAGCGTCCCACCACAGCACCTCACGTTTGGAAGGGCCCTGTGCATGGTTGAATGCCCTGCTGTCGCCCTCATGAAATTCTTAATAATTTTTGAACAAAGGACTCCACATTTTCATTTCACACTGGGCCCTGCATACTTGTGGGATATACAAAAAGAGCCAGGAGAGGAGAGGGTCTTCCAAGGATAGAGAACACTGTGTGCAAAACACAAAAGGAAGAGAGGATTGTACTCTTGAAGAGCTGGCTGAAGTTCTGTGTCGCTGGAGCACGGAGCGGAGGATGGGGGATAGGGAGGGGTGAGCTCAGGAAGCAGGTGGATGTCAGCTGCCAGGCTGGCGATCAGTGACACCATTCCAGAGGCACTAAGGAACCATGGCGGAGGGTCGGGGTCAGGCTTGGACTTCAGAAAGATCCATCTGTCTGTGGTGGGGAGGGTGGCTAGTGCCACAGGACAAAGAACAAGGTCCGGGTGGGAGGCTGGGCTGCCTGTGGAAAGGGTCAGAGTGTCCGGTCACTGTGATGCAGGCTCATGAAGAGCCTTGAATACTTGGGTGACAGTCACCCAATGCACCAGGAGACTGGCCAGGGAGACCCAAAGCCACAGGCTGAATCCAGAGCTTCATTTTCACTTGAAGATTTTCACTGTTGGGGAGTGGGGTGCACAAGGGTGGGTTAATGGGTGTCACCGGTAGGTACTTGAAAATCTTTATATGAGAACTCACATGGATAGACTGATGAAAGTGAATACAAAATTTACAAGAATTTAGAGTATAAAATGTAAGACTTCAAAGGACTTTATTCTGGGTATATTCTGGCTTCAACTCTGTGGAACCCCTGGAGGGCGATTCCCTCTCCCCGGTCCTCCAGATAAAACATCAGATCTTTCGGAACTTCCTCTTCATCCATAGCCCTAAACGCTGTGGGCCCTCTACCCCCACCCCCACCCCCCGGGGCTGGGAACTGACCCCCTTCCTGCTTCTCCACTCACCTCCTTCTGGGGTGGCCCCTCTCCACACGCCCCCATGCTCCTGTTTTCCTTCTCTGCCGAAGACCCCCACATCTCTGTCCCCAGCGCTGGCCCCTCCTCTAAACCTGGCTTCCCTCGGCTTCCTGGACAGCCCCCAGGCCTCTCACATCCACCGGGTGCCACACTGGCCTTAGCTTCCTCCCAAACCTGCCCCTCTTCCCCAGGTCCTCTCAGGGCGACCCTCCACTCAGCCTCCTGGCAGCCCTCCCACCTAGCCTTCCTCCCTTCTCTGGCTCCACCTTGTTCTAGCTCCTGCCTCACCCACCTGGGTCCCTGCATCTCCTCCCCCTGGAGTCCTGGCCTCAGTCTCCCACTCTGGTCCAGGGAATCTTCGTAAAGCCAAACCTGACCCTCCTCTGCTTAAAACCCTCCATGGCTCTCCTAGGTTCCTGGGACAAAGTTCTAGCTACTCAGTCTGGCAGTACAGGCCTTGCCCCTCCCCCACCTGCCCTCAGCTCCACCTCTAGCATATATGTTCCCCACCTCAGGCTGGAAGGAAGGAAGTACTCCCTGAAAAGCCCACCCTTTTACACCCCCACGTTGTTCCTGTGCCCTGGGGGGAGCCTTCCTTCACTTCCTCTGCTTGTGTTGAAGAGCAGAGGAAGGATCTTAAGCAGGTGAGAAATGAAGCTTTGAAAGAATTCCTTCTTGAATTCTCCCTCTACCCTCCCTACCAAAGGCAAGGGTTCTGGGGGGAGAAAGGGGCTAGGGGTGCAGGTTCCTAGGACCTGGGAAAGAAGGGGCTGGAAACTGAATCCAAGGCCTTTCCTTGTCTGGAGAGCCAGCCTGTCCTTCGTCCCGGATCCTCCACATAGGGTGCAACCCCATTGTTCTCCAGCTCAGGACGTTCTGGAAGGAGGGGAGTCATGTGGAAGCCATTGTCTTTCCTTGGGCAACTCCGCCCCATAGCCTCCAGACCTGCACATCCAGCACATCATGTCCTCTCCTGCCTCTGTCACTTCCACGACCTAGGAGTTCAGGTCCCCAGTCCCCTCCTCCCTGAGACACAGAAGTCCAGTGTCTATTTCTCTCCTTCCTCAGAATCCAGGAGTCCAGGCTCCCGCTTCCCAGGACACCTAAAACTCAAGCCTGAAGGCTCTCTGCCCTTGGCAGGCTCAGGAGTCCTGTCTCGCTTTTCTTGGAAACCATGGAATTCTTGCCCTGCCCCCTTTGATCTCTTAATTCACTTCCCCATATCTGTCCCTCCCTTCTCTCTGTGATGCTCCCCCTCTGTCTCTCCATCTCTCCCATCTCCCTGCCCCCACCCACATAATTGGGCCTCATTACAATCAATGGCACCAGGTCAGACTGGAACCAGTGCTAATGGGGACATCCGGTGTGCTGATGGGAGGTCTGGGCTCAGGCATCTGGGACTATAAATACCCCCGCACTGTGGCCTCAGCCCAGCTCCTGCAGGTGAGACCTGCAGCCTTGCCTTTTTGCCTGGGCTCCGAGGCCTGAGCCCTTCTCTGGGATTCCCCCTGTGCCCCCTTCTGCTCCTGCGGTGCAAGGGCTGAAGCAGACTGGCACTGAGAGACTGCTCCAGCCCATAACTGTCCACCCTCTCCCCGGCCATGGCTGCCCTTTCCTCTGCCCTGCTGTGCCTTGGTGCCCTGGGCTGCCTGTGGGGTGAGTGATCCATGGGGGATGCAGAAGACTGGTGAGCTGCTCTGGATCTGCAGCAGGGGACTGGTTGTGCTGGCTGGGGTTTGGGGCTGCCTGGCATGGTTCTGTAACAGGGGATTAGCCGCGGTGGAGCTTCTTGGGACAGGGCCCTGGCCCGCTGGGTCCAGGGACTGTTTGGGTAGACTCTGTGGCGGAGAATTGGCCAAACCGGTTGTGGGAAGGGGGCTGAGCAGGCCTTTCTGGGACAGATGGTTCAAAGGAAACAGCTTTTTTTTTTTTTTTAAAGATTTTATTTATTTATTTGAGAGAGAATGAGAGAGAGCACATGAGAGGGGGGAGGGTCAGAGGGAGAAGCAGACTCCCTGCCGAGCAGGGAGCCCGATGCGGGACTCGATCCAGGGACTCCAGGATCATGACCTGAGCTGAAGGCAGTCGCTTAACCATCTGAGCCACCCAGGCGCCCAGAAAACAGCTTTTTTTAAAGTTAATATTTACCAGATATTGTTCCATGGCCTTTACATATATTATCTCATCTAATATTCTCATAGCTCTGCCAACACCCCCTTTTGACAGATGAAGAAACTGAGGCCCGGAGGTGGTACCTTGACCACGTTGACATGGCTAGAGCATGGCGGTCAGGATTAAAACCTGATGTATTTGACCTCAAAATCCAACAGATTCCGCTGACTCCCTCCTTTCCCCTTGGGTTCCCTCAGGCCCAACGGTTGCATTTGTGGATTTCCAGGGCCGTTACTTCATCACGGCTTTCTTGGAGAATGGGGGCGCTGAGAAGCCCAACTTCCGCCTGTACGTGTCGCCACCGCCCAAGGGGCCCCCGACGGCGGTGCAAGTGAGGGCGCACCCGGTGGGGGGACCGCCCCTTCGGCGCGCGCTGAGCCTGCAGCCAGGCACCACTGCCTTGGTGCGCCTGCCCAGCGCTGTGGAGCTGCGGGGCTCGCGGCGGGCGGCGGGGGGCGCGGTGCGCTTAGCCGCGTCGCGACCGGTGGGAGTGACCGTGGTGAACGCGCGTGGGCGCACCTCCCTGGACACGGCACTAGCGCTTCCGCGCCGCCTGCTGGGTACGCGCTACGTGGTGGTGACGCCGTCGCTGCAGCCCCACGACCGGCACAAGGAGTTTGCGGTGGTGGCCGGCGCTTGGCCCACGCGCCTGCGCCTCACGCCTCCGGTGCCCGTCCTGCTGGATGGCGTCGAGCATGCTGCCGGCCGGCCCCTCCTCGTGCGCCTTGAGCCCTTCCAGGCGCTGCAGGTGCAGAGCGCAGGCGACCTGTCGGGCACCCGCGTCGTGGCCACTCATCCCGTCGCGCTGCTGGCTGGCCACAGTTGCCTGCAAGCGAGAAATAAGGCCTGTGGCCACGTGTCCGAGCAACTCCTGCCGCAGGATTACTGGGGCCGCGTCTACGCCGTACCCCCGTTCGCGCCCGCGGCTCCCGGACCCAAAGACCACGTGTACGTGGTGGCGGACAGCCTGGGCAGTCTGAGCTTCTGGGGGGGCGGCGCCGAAGGGGCCCAGGCTCTGCGCGGTGGAGTCGTGCTGCACTTCGCCGTGGACCCAGTGCGCCCCCTGGTGCTGCGCTCCTCTGCCCGCCTGCAGGTGCTTTTCCTGGCCGCAGCTGCGGCCCGCGGGGGCGTCGCCTACAATCCCTTCTTCGCTCTCTTGCCTCCGGTGGACGCGTTCAGCCGCAGCTTTGCGCTCACAGCGCAGCCGGGCTTTTCCAACGTGGCGGTGCTGCTGGCGCGCGAGCCCACCCCGGTGCTCCTTGATCAGCAGCCGCTGCCCAACCTGCACTGGCGCCTAATCCCCGGCGGCCCAGAACCGGGTCACGGGCAGCATTCTGGTGAAAGCCACGCCACCGCTCCGGGTTTCGTCTGGACCGAGGTGGCATATGGACCTGAGCCCGGAGTGGTGCACTTCCTGGAGACTCGCGGGCCGCCCGTGGGCGTGCTCAGCTTCGGCACCGCCCCTGGCGCGGGCTTCGGGACCCAGGCCATGGGGCAGCCAAGCGTGGGTGAGCAGCACTGGGGCCCAGGACAGTGGGAAGTTGAGCAGACGATGGGATTCCAGGAGATCAGGGACGGGGAAAATCATAACACTACCTTCAATTGTTCACATAGCAGCCCGAGGGGCAGGGTTTTTTTTTCATGCAAATCACTCCCTCCTCCACTCAAAATCTTTCCATGCGATTATTATTACACCCAGCAAAAGCACAGTACTTACAGTGTTGTGTGTGTGTGTGTGTGTGTTTAAGATTTCATTATTTGAGAGAGAGAACAGGAGCAGAGGGAGAAGCAGACTCCCCACCGAGCAGAGAGCCCTATGTGGGGCTCAATCCCAGGACTCTGGGATCATGACCTGAGCAGAAGGCAGATGCTTAACCAACTGAGCCATCCAGGCGCCCCAGTACTTACAGTGTTTTATGAGGCCCCATACAATCTGTTCCCATTACCTCTCTGATCTCATCTGTTACTCTTGTCCTTCACTCACTCCAGTCCAGCCACACAAGCCACCTTACTTTCTTCTCCCTGCTCAGAGCCTTTAACACTGACTGTCCCCATGATATCTTTATAGATCTCACCCTCATCTCCTTCAAGTCTTTGCTCAAATGCCACCTTCTTACCGAGGCCAAATTGACCACTCAATTTAAAATCGCAATTCCCCATCCCTGGCAAACTCCAGCCCTTCCCTGATTTTTTTCCAGCTCATATCACTTTCTATATACTTACTTATTATCTTTCTCTGTCTCCCATCAGTTCCTTGAAGTCCATGCTTTAAAAAAAAAAATTAAGTAAGTTCTAAGATACACAGTTAATTGTACGATTTTTAGGTAGGACAGTGTCCAACCCCTAGTAAATATTTGTGGAATGAATAATAATGGTTATAAGTTGTTAAATGTGCACCAAATCATATGCCAGGCACGGGGCTCAAAAAGGAAGTTATTGTTGAAGGTCACATGTTCTTTTTCTTTACTACAGTGTAAATTGTAAACATTGGGGTCAGGGGAAGGGATAAAATAATGGGTGCTTGACCTTCCCGCTAGTCTTTGAGGTTGACTGTAGAACAGTATTGTAATAATTCCTTTTTTTCTGGGGAGGGGAAGGGCTAGAGGTTAAACCTTTTGGCAAGTTTGCACAGCTAGAAAGTGGCAGAGCCAGGATTTGAACCCAAGTCTACTTGCTTCCAGAGCACAAGTTTTTAACCACCTTTTTGTGTTGTTTTATTTTGTACTGCTTCACACAGACTTATAGTCTAGACTTATGAGCTAAGCGGTAAGTGCTCTTATATATAATGTATGTACATTATACAATGTATTCCTCACAGCCACTCTGGAGGCAGGTCTCTTTATTATCCCCATTAAAAAAAAAAGATTTATTTATTTATTTATTTGAGAGAGGGAGAGAGAGTGGGGGGAAGGGCAGAGGGAGAGAATCTTCAAGCAGACTCCCTGCCAAGCGGAGCCCACCGTGGGGCTAGATCCTAGGACCCATGAGGTCATGACCTGAGCTGAAACCAAGAGCCGGATGCTCAACTGACTGAGCCACCCAGGAGCCCTTGTTATCCCCATTTTATAGAGGAAGCAGTTGAAGGTTGAAGAGTGCCTGGCATGCAGTAAACATTTGCTATCATTAATTTTCAACGATTTATTTTAGATTTACTTCAGGCTAGGCCTGTTCTGGGTACTGGAGATGCAACAATGTACAACATAGAAACATTCCTACTGAAAGGAGCTGATACTTTAGTTCATATTCTAATCCATACCAGAAGTCTGTATTATGTTTTGATGGAAAATATGCAAACCCTTACAGAACAAAGTTATTTCTTAAAAGTTCACTTTGTAGGTGTCTAGTATCATGCATCAATAGCTATGAAAAAAATAACTCCCCTCCCTGGGAAATGGGGTGGCTAGATCCCAACAGAACACACACACACACACATACACAATACACAATACATACACACACACACACACATTTTTTTTTTTAAGATTTTATTTATTTATTTGACAGAGACAGAGATAGCGAGAGCAGGAACACAAGCAGTGGGAGTGGGAGAGGGAGAAACAGGCTTCCCCCCGAGGAGGGAGCCCGATGTGGAACTCGATCCCAGGACCCTGGGATCATGACCTGAGCTGAAGGCAGACGCTTAACGACTGAGCCACCCAGGCGCCCCCCCCCCCCCCCCACATTTTTAAGGCTGCTTAACATGGCAAGCTGGAAGTCCTCACTGGCCAAAATCAACTCACAGATGTGTTTAGACTTACTGGCACATAGATTTTGTTAATAACTGATTGGTGTCCTTAGATGGAGTCTGCTCTCCAGCTCATCACAACCCTATGTATACCCACACTGTGCTGACCATTTCTGTATTGTCCTTCAGCCCCACCTTTTTCTTTCTGACGATATAGGCCCACTTCATTTTAGATTGGGAACCCTGCTAGCTTATGAATTTTGAGTCTCCATCAACCCTGGAGGCCTAGGGCATGAAGGCAGGAAAGGGATGGGACCAAATGCCAGGATCTAGTTCTGTTGCATCATTTCATCTCATCTCATCTCCAGATATTCTGACTGAGGAAGATCTGAACCCTCCTACAGAATTCTATCCCCTCCTAGAATCTTCCCTGGTGATGCCACTCCAGTTCCCAGGATCCTGTAAGGACCATGTATGCTCCAGTGGGACCACATGTCACCTTGTGAAGCACAAACCTGAGTGTGTGGCCAGCACCCAGGCCACCGAGATCATGTTCAGTCCCAAGACAATATCTCTGAAGGACTCTAATACAGTGTCCTTCTCCAGCTCTAAAACCACGGCAGTGGCCAAACCGGGATCAGAGAGCACACCTGAAGCAGAACCAGGGCTTGTATCTGTGGCCATGAATGAACTTGAGCCTCAATCGTTAGCTTTGGTTAAACCAGAACTTGAACCTTTGGCTCTAAAAGAACCAATTCCTGAGACCCTGGTTGTGGCTGAACCAGCAGCTGCACCTTTCCCCCTGCCAGTGCCCATGGCTGAACGAGAGTCCAAACCCAAGACAGTGTCTAAGGCTGGGTCAGAAACCATCTCAGTGGCCAAGCTGGGGCTCAAGGTGGTGGCAGTGACTGAACCAGGCTTGGAGGCTGTGACTATGGCAAAGCAAGAACTTGGAACTGTGGCTGGGTCCAAAATGGTGTCTGAGGCCAAGTCGGAGACAGTGGGCGTCTCTCGTAAGGGGCAGGGGGGCATCACAGGGGGTACCTGCTGGGCTTCCGGGCTACCATACATCTACACTTTCGATGG